CCCCTCCCTGCAACCCCCCCCATCCCTTGCCACCAATTCTGCAGCCTTCGCTCCTTCCCCTCCTACTCCACTTTCTCTTCTCCCACATTCTACCTTTCTTGTTCCTCTTTGTAGAATCACATGACTTCTAAGTTTCTATCTAACTCTAAAATTACATTATTACTTTTTCCCTCTCCTTTCCCTTCTTCCTTTTTTTACCCCCTCCCCACTTCTTCCTCCTCTTTGAGTCCCAAATTCTCTCATTCACCCTCTTCTTCCTCCCATATTCCCCTCTCTGACTCCAGTCAAAGTGCAGTTTCCTTAATGCTTGTACCTGTAGAGTCCGTGATCGTCCCTTTGGGAGAGACACCAGTGATTCTCAGAACAAGGTCTCACCAGTAGCCTTCAGACGCCTTCCTGCTACCCTTTTCAAAAGACAGAACCATGCGACTGCTTTTGCTGCCATGAAACTCAGAGAACACGGTAGAGAGCAAAGGGTTTTGCCAGCATATTGAGGTGCAGAATAGGAAGGAGGTTTCTGGCAAGGTGGGGAGGGGCAAGGAGGAGTGCAATGTGGAAGAATTGGTGAATGAAGACTTTCTGACACATGCCCCATGAAGTAAGCTTCAGTAATAAGAAAAGTTACACCCTTGTTTTGCAGCTCTTGGAGTTCAACCTCTCATTGTCCCCCAAAATTTATAACCTGTGGCATCAGAAAATTTCACTCCTTTCCAATAATCCATGCTGTCAGAAAAATCAAAAGATAATATTCCTCTCAGCCACTCAACCACTGCAACCATAAACAGAAACGTGTATATAAGAAGTCATAGACACTTCAAGATGTAAGGTCTATCTACTGCTTGGAGCAAGCAGCTTACTCCAAGCATCAGAAAGCAGTTCCCAAGGCAGAAAGTTTAGACTAATGTTACAGCCCTGTATCTGGTGGCCTAATGCTGCTTTATAATCTTTTAAATACTCTTTTGCATTGTAACTGTATGAAGTTCATCAGTACCTTAGTCAATGTTTAGATTGCCTGATGATCTCCTTTTGGGATTGTTCCCAGGCACCAAAGAAAAGAAAAATCCAAGGCATTCTTCCTCCCTTATCAGATTTCTAACTTGATATGCTCTTTAGAATTTTGAGGTAATAGGGAAATTCTTTTGAGGACAATAAGTTACTCCAGACAAAGTTGTTGAGTTTCCAGGTGAGGAAACCAGAGTGTTGAACAATATATTAGACATTGAACTGTAAGTTTTACTCAGCTCTTTCTGAAAAAAAAAAAAAAAATCTGATGTTTCTTTGATAATACCATGTAGTATTCAGTCACAGGAAAAGTTCTTTCAGTCAATATAATCTTTGATAGACGAAATTACTTATCTGGTCCTGAGCTTTTCATTGGGTTAGGGAATATTTAAATATGGCTTCTGAGATTTTTTTTCCATTTTACTTGTGTGAGTGTGTGTGTGTGTGTGTGTGTGTTGAGCTGGAAGGGAGGAGGTCAAGATGTAAAAGGAACTAGGGGGTGAGCTTCCAGAGGAAATTACAGAGGGGAGTTAGTAGGAAGATTCTCTTAGTCCTCATGCCAGGATGGGAGGCACGGAGAGGTCTGGCACCAGGTGCCCTGCTGTTGCCTGATTGGCACAGACAATATCTGTCAATCAACTCTCACTTGGCAACAAGTTACACCTGCAGCTTGAGTTTAATACTTACCAATGCAGCCACCCATACTGTGTGCAACTGCTTGGGACCTAGTAACATCCAGCCACTAAACAGGGTCTATTTCGAAAGCCTTGAACGCTAAGTAATAGCATGATCTCATTCAAGGCTAACCCATTTACTCCTATTTAAATGCTTTGGGAAACAAAGGGTAATGTCGTATTTGGAAACAATTTTCTGGATTGTGGTAGGAAAAAAATCTAGACCAATTCAAAGTCAGCTATGCAAGATCCAAGAACTACAAAGCATTCCTGTGATGCACGCTGGAGTGCAGAGTGTTTATAAAATAAATTGCTCTATTGATATGGAAAATAATGCACCAAGCACAGTTCATACAAAGTATTTTCAGGGGGTCTCTGGCGACTTATTTTAAACTCTAATTTGAAAAGCAGGAGGAAAAAATCTTTCAATCGCTAAGTGGATAATATAGTTTATAATTTGTAAACCATTTCTTTTATTTTGGTCTTGCTGACTTTCCAAGATATGCTGAATCTCAGTGCACACCCATTTTCTCTTAAGTTATCAAAGGAGAAATGGGTATGTCATTCTAACACAATGTCCTTGGTGGTTGTTGTTGTTTTCTTAAGTTCATTCACAATGTAACTGATGTTTGTGGATAACGAATGAAACAAATCAAAAGATTTAACAAACTCTCCAGAATGATAAGGTAGTTGAAAACCAAGGTTTTAACCTGAATATTTAGTGAAAAATAAATATGAAATAACATTTCTTTTCTAATATAATTACATATTATTTGATGAGTTTATTATTAGATGCTGAATGCCTGAAATGAAAGTAGTTTAATCTGTACAGAGAACAATTCACTGTTGCCCTGCATACAGGAGCAACCCTGCAATAAAAAGAGAAAAAACCTGCAGCAATAATAATAGTAATTGAGAGGAAAGAATCATTATTCCTTACCTTAGACAACCATCAGGGTCAGGAAAATTAACAACCTTACAAAAAAGTAAAAAAGATGTCACGTGTTCACTGCCCAATATGCTGAAACAACTTCCTTCTGCCTATCATTACTCTTATTATTATTACATGTTTATTTCCATTAAAGAATGGCCATCACATTGTTGTTGTTAAGGTTACACAGGGTCAGCATTTTCCATATTTTTCAAGCTGCATAAAATAAATGTATACTTGTAACGTCAATAGAAGTAAGTAGATGAGGAATATTTGGGGACAACTGATCCCCCCATTTCCATGTTTATACAGAAACAGGAATTCCCACTTCTGTTTCAGAACTTAAAGTAGGAAACTCTTAAGTTCCAACAATATTTGCAGTTTAAAATGATCACTTAAAAATTGGGGTCCATACTTTGGAAGCCAGGACTATGTTTAAGTCAGAGATCAATTTCCCAGTAAGGCTGATTCACTGTTTTGAAAATTAACAGCAAATCAGTAATCGTATTGTCAAGTACTGCCATTCTTTGGCACACCATATTTGCCAGGGACAACTTTGGCCTTCAGGTAGTATGTTCTGTCTTCAAACTAACTTTCTGAAATTATTGTTTAAATGCTAAGAATCCAGCTGTACCTTGGTCATGTATAACCTTCCAAGTGCTATTTTTTTTTTAAGAAGAGAAAGGAGAGTGTCAATGGAAAGAAGAAGAGGAAGAAGAAGAAGAAAAGGGGGGGGGGAGAGAGAGAGAGAGTGTTTAATGTTGAAGCTCTCATCTCCAGAGACCAGTGCAGACAGGCTGCTTGAGTTGGAGAAAGGTTGACTTTTTTAACTTTTAAGGCCTTTCCTTTGAGTAAGAGATATTAGAGAAACAAGGAACTGCATCAGTCAATGGGGTTATCAAAAATGGTAGCAATCATATTAAGAATGGGTAACAAGGAAAAGTTAAGCTGGGAAAAAGGCTGAGTACTCAATGGCCCAAGGTTGGAGGTCCAGATTGACGACACACCATTAAGTATAGAAATTCATTTTCTCCTTTCTCTTTTGTGCTTTCTCCACTACACACACACACACACACACCACTCTCCTCTTTCCAAGACTGAGCTGCGAGGCACCCATGCCAGCCAATCTCAACTTTTTCGTGCTTTAGTCGGAGAAGGATTTCTGTGTTGCAATTTCGACCATTTAAACCTTGGTAGAGGCCGTATTATTACGATTCTATGTCTTTCTTCTTCTTCGCTTTAAAATCAAATCATTAATCATTCTGAGAGCGCCAGCGGGGAAGAGTTAGGATGGCTAACTCCTAGTTCCCTCGCTCAGGAAGCAATGTGGCTTGTGACCCCCCTTCGCAGGCCCCTCCCTCCTTCCCCTTCCTTCTTTCCCTCACTCCCTTCCTCCCTCCCAGAGTTTATATATCTCACCTCCCCACGTCACTCGACAGCGCGCCATGCAAATAATCCCCCAGCCGCAGCTCTCCCATTGGCCGCGGCAAACTCATTTAATGGAAGCTCTGTGCTCAGCGTATGGCTGCTGGGTCTCTGGCTCTGTGTGTGTCTCTTTCCCTGCTCCTCCTCTTCTGATTCCCCCAGCCGAGAGGAGGGAAACCAGAGAGAGAACAAATTACTGGGCAACTTCTCTCGGGCTCTAAGGTGTTTCCCCCCCTTCCTTCCTTTCCTCTCTTTCGTTCTTATTCCTCCTCTCTCTTTTATCTTTCCTCCTCCTCCTCCTCTCTGGTACAATTTTAATTGCATCTCCCCCCCACCCCACGTTTGGAGGCGGTGGCGGTATAAGTGCTCCCCCCCCCCTTGGCACCTGGGACCCGCAGATGCAAATCACACGCTCCTCTCCTCTCTCCCTCTAGAAGTTGTAGCCACCAAGTTTTAAAGTCTTTAAAGAATAAGCGAGGAGGAGGAAGGAGAGAAGGAAAGTGAGAGCGAGTGTGTGAGGGAGCCAAAGCGAGACAGAAGAACACCCCGTGCCGAGCAAGCGCCTGGGTACATCCGCCACTCACTCCTCCTCCCAAAGTGAAGCAGCAACTTTACAACTGATTTGCACCTGTTTGAACAGCTCCAGCTAGAGAGGCGACAGCAGCAGCGGCAGGAGCAGCAGCAGCAGCAGCAGGAGCAAAGACACACCATCCCTGAGCCAAGTGGTTTTTACACGAGGAAAAAGTTTTCACCTGTAATCCTGATAGCCACTGCGTGTGTGCTTGGTTTTTGTTTTGTTTCGTTTTTGTTGAGTTTTTCCCTTCTCTAAATTTTCTCATTATTAACCATAGGATCTTTGAAATTTTTTTTGACATCTCTCTCCATTTTTGATCGTCTCTCTGTCTTCCTGGTCCTCTATGCTTCACGCCTTTTTCGCCTGGTGCTGGTGAACACTAAAAGCCGCTTGAATGTACAGCATGATGATGGAAACGGACTTGCATTCCCCCGGTGGGGCCCAGGCCCCCACGAACCTAACGGGCCAGACCGGGGCTGGCGGAGGAGGCGGGGGCGGTGGCGGCGGCGGCGGCGGAGGAGGAGGCAGCAACAAAGCCAACCAGGACCGGGTCAAGCGGCCCATGAACGCTTTCATGGTGTGGTCCCGGGGCCAGAGACGCAAGATGGCCCAGGAAAACCCCAAAATGCACAACTCGGAGATCAGCAAGCGCCTGGGGGCCGAGTGGAAAGTCATGTCCGAGGCAGAGAAGCGCCCTTTCATCGACGAGGCGAAGCGTCTTCGGGCTCTGCACATGAAGGAACACCCGGATTATAAATACCGGCCCCGGCGAAAAACCAAGACCCTGCTCAAGAAGGACAAGTACTCCCTGGCCGGGGGCTTGCTGACTGCTGGTGCTGGAGGAGGAGGCCCGGCCGTCGGAGTAGGCATGGGAGTGGGAGTGAGCCCGGCCGGTGTGGGCCAGCGTCTGGAAAGTCCTGGAGGCACGGCGAGCGGGGGCTATGCGCACATGAACGGCTGGGCCAACGGAGCTTATCCGGGCTCCGTGGCGGCGGCGGCTGCCGCCGCAGCGATGATGCAGGAAGCGCAGCTCGCCTACAGCCAGCACCCGGGCGCCGGGGGAGCGCACCATCACCCACACGCGCACCCCCACCACCCGCACCACCCTCACAACCCGCAGCCTATGCACCGCTACGACATGGGCGCACTCCAGTACAGCCCCATCTCCAACTCGCAAGGCTACATGAGCGCCTCGCCCTCGGGCTACGGGGGCCTTTCATACGGCGCCGCGGCTGCCGCAGCCGCTGCCGCGGGCGGCCCACACCAGAACTCGGCCGTGGCGGCGGCGGCAGCTGCAGCGGCCGCGTCGTCAGGCGCCTTGGGCGCGCTGGGCTCCCTGGTCAAGTCGGAGCCGAGCGTCAGCCCTCCGGTCACCTCGCACTCGCGGGCTCCGTGCCCCGGGGACCTGCGCGAGATGATAAGCATGTACTTACCCGCCGGGGAAGGAGGGGACCCCGCGGCCGCATCGGCGGCAGCCGCAGCCGCGGCGGCGGCACAGAGCCGACTGCATTCGCTGCCCCAACATTACCAGAGCGCCAGCAGTGGAGTCAATGGCACTGTCCCCTTGACACACATCTAGTCTCAGAGACAGTGATCGAGCGAACAAGAAGCGGCCGAGGGCTAGAGTTAGAAAGCGAACGAGATAGACTGGCAAAGAAAAAACTTAAACTGCAACAAACACACAGCAAAACAACAAACTTGTACCTCTGCGATGGGACTGTCGCTCCCCACCCCCCCCAGCCCTTGTCTCCTCCCTCCTCTAACCTCCTAAAGCCCCTCTTACCTGCCCCTTCCCATCACCGCCGCCTCCACCTGAACTTCCTTTTTGTACAGAATGTTTTGATGTTCTTGTAAAAAAAAAAATCTCGATAATATTAATAATGAGGAAAAGAAGGTAACAGTTGCTCTATTTACCTTTTTAGAAGCTCCTGGGAACTAGTTGTTAAGACTAGTTTTGCGTTTTAGACTGAACTTCGGTGTTTTATTGAGACTTTTTGTACAGTATTTATCATTCACTGAGGAGGCATATAGCGTTTTATTTGCTAAAGAGAAAAAAAAAACAGACAAAGATATAGGCGATGCCAACTTTTATATAACCGCGGGAGCATTAACTCATCCTTGCATCGCTTCCGTATGGCGCTTTATTGCCTAAGATAGAGTGATGGGGAACAGTTCTCATTTGTTACAGTTGTAGTAAAGCAACTCCGAACCACACGTTAAAGTTTTGTTTTTTTGTTTTGTTTTTTTGTTTTTTGTAGCTGTTACCGCTTTTTTTTTTTCTGTTTATTTATATAAGGAGACATCTCCTCCCCCCCTCCCTTTTTTCCGGACTGCGACGTTATGTTCTGGGTTTTGTAAAACTTTCTGTATCTGGGATCTTCCCCCCTCCCTTTTTTTTTGTTTGTCTTGTATGATTTCTTGTAAATGCATTGTGATTTTTTTTTTAATTTAGGAGTTTCGGCAGGGGGGGAGATTCAGATTGTGTACATAGTTTACTAAGAAGCCTTTCTGCTAAAAGAGGGAGAGAGATAAAGAAAAACCTCAAAACCTCCCTTTCCCCTGGATTTTGAGTTAATAAAATTTTAAATGAAAAATGTTTTTTCTCCACTAAATTTGAAATGTACTAATTTTAATCATATGTATAAACACCCTGAAAAACAATTGGTAAATCTGGAGGGGGGAAGAGAGAGAAGTTAATCAGGGTGAGCCGAAAATAACAGAAACCGCCCCCTTTCGCTACAGGAGCCGGAGGGGAGATTTCTAATAGTAGATATCAAATGTAAGAGGAGAAAGTGAAAAATCAACGAGGCATAGGTTTTCGAAGGAGATTATTTTTGGTATCTATTAAGTGTTGTTAAGGAAGGCAAAATATTAAAAAAAAATATTTCCATAGTCTGGCCCATTCGTTTGCTTGTTTTATCTGTGGAAGGCAATACCCTGGTGTGAGTTTACTTGCTGTGAAGCTTTGCCGCCTTAAACTGGTCTAGGGTCCAGACTGCACTTCTGTGTGGAGAGGGCGGGGGAGGGGGAGGGGAAAGACCCCAGTGGCGGGACTGGGCCAGGGATGGGGGACAAAGACAACGGCGGTGCACATGTGCCCCTGTTTCCCCTGTAATTAACACGATTGCAAGCAGAACTGATCTATCTGGGTTTGGCTCACAGAAATACAATCTGAACCAAAAATATACTCAAACTGAGTCCCCCGGTCCCTGTTCTCTGTCCCCTCCCCCACCCCTCCCCATCCTTTGGGAAAGGGTGAAACATTTTGTGGAACTTTCAAAATAACAAAAAACCCTGCGTGAACTGGGATGCAAGTTGCTAACAACCGGTGTGAAAGCTGTCGAGCTAAATGCTGTGTTTGTTCCTAACAGGATCCTAAGGTTGTTTAATGCTTTAAAAAAATGAATTCTATTTTTTCTAGGTGTTTATCGGTACCTTGCCATTTTTTTTCCTGGAATTAAAAGTTTTCTGTAAAACTTTGTCTACTAGTAATTTGACAGCATTAAATATTGCATTTAAAAGTCATACTGTAGCAAATACATTTTGAAACTAGTCGTGATATTAAGATAAATTTATACTTAAAAGATCTTTTAAAGTTCAGATTGGGAAATGTGGGTTTCAGACGCTTTAGGCCCTCCTTCCCTTTCCTAACCTCCCCCTCACCCACTAATTTCTCAGCATTTTTTTTTGTGGTGAATGAATCCAAATGTGGGTAAATATTAGTTGGAGAAAAGAATCGGAATAAGGCTGAGTTAGAAACTACACTTTCTAACTCTAACGTCGATTTTTGACCATTGACGAGTGTCACTCGTTGGAGTCATTCTGGATCATTTTGCTTACACTGCTCATTCCTTAAAGTGATTTTCGAAATTTCCATGGACCATGTCTATTGTTTTCTAACAAGGAAATAAAAATCTTTCTTCTTCTTTTTTTAAAGTAACTTGGTCCTTTGTTAGCCCTTCAAAAGTGTCCCTAGGAACGTGTGTGGCGCCTATAGATGGGTCAGCGGAATAGTCCTACAGTAACTAACTTCCATGGACACAAAGACTCCTCTGAGAAATCCTATACCGCTCTATGCACCGGAGTCTCGCCTTAATTTTGGAAACCGTTATATGGACACGCTGAAAACATACTTAATAATCTGGGGTGCCTTCAAGAGCTTTTCGGGTGACGCTGTCCGCAGGGCTCCTGCAGTTTCTTTCTATTTGAGTTTGTATACCAATGTACCAGCCAGATATATGTTTATGGTATGTCTATGTGAAGATATGGTCAAGCAGGTGTATTCAGAGCCGGTGTCTAGATAGTCTTTAGGACATTCCCCAACTAAACATTATCTACATTCGGAAAAGCCCATTGGATATCTGAGGAAAACTGAAGCGTTGGCTTTAGCTGGAAAAGCTGCAGAGATAAAAAAGTTCAGACTTACTGGCAGAATTGGGATGAGCATCTGAAAGCTGTTTAGAAAAGTGCTGGGATTTAACTTGGTTTTCATCTTGGGTACCTAAAAGTTAAGGCTGCAGCAGCTAACACTGGGCCGCTCTCCCCACTGCCCTCTCTTTCTTTCTTTCTTTCTTTCTTTCTTTCTTTCTTTCTTTCTTTCTTGAGGTTCGTGCTGGGGACCAAACGCTTGAATAGATCTTCTCAAAAGCATTTCTTGAAGGGGAGAAGATATTTTCAGTGAGTTGATTTTTTTTCACGATTGAGATACTAGTACTGAAGCGGTGTGATAGAATTGTAACGCCTCCATTTTAAAAGTGTAGATAAATGATTGAGATAGAGCTGTGCAAGCTTTTAAAGCGACCCCAAGTGGGTCCGGCAGAGCTCAGGAGATAAATACCAAGCATTCTATGCCGAGGGCATTGCCTGGCTTGGATAAGGTGATGCCAAGCTCCCAGTGACTTCTTGCTCCCCTTTGGCTCCCAATTTCTTTTCAAATCTTGGGAAAGATGCGGAGAGGCTGTGTACTAGAGTTAAAAACAAAGTTTCAGCAACTTTGTTGCTGAAGCCTAGGGGGTGAATTCTTGAATTCTATGTACAGTGGACGGTTCTTCGCTGGGCCCTCTCTTTTGAGCTTAATAGGGTTTTAAAGTGATTTTGTTTCTGTTTTGACTTCCTCCTTTTTAAAGAGAAAAAGTTGGACTCTAACCCCCTCTTTCTTACTCCCCCCCCAAAAAAATCTCATTAGCGAAAGGAAATGATTTACAATTTCAAGAGCATTTATGGATTCAGCGAGCCTGAACTGCAGATGTTCGTCCGATTAAATGACTGACAGGTTTATTAAAATAATGTATGTATACGAATAATAACACACATATACATGCATTTCATTTTCCTCACAAAGAAAGGGAGAAGGTTTCATCGGAAGGAAATTCCGGTTAATTAGAGAAATTCTTTACTTGTGCCTTAGCTGGAAATGAAGCTCTAGAATTCCCTGTGGGTGGAGTGGTCAGTGGCCACCCCCTTCTTTCTCTTTACTTCCCTGCTCCTCCTGCCCTCTTCTCAGGACCCCCTGCCCTTCGCCGGGGGCCCAGGTCCTCTCCATGGAGCCCCGAGTTGTGGCTGGCCTCGTACCCTGCCCCCATGCTCTCTCCAGAGCCATCTCCTCCTCCCCAGGAGCGCCCTGGAGGGAATGGAACTAGAAGCGTTGGCGGCAGAATTTAATAATAGGTTTGATTCCTTCGAAACTTCACGTGAAAAGCAAACTTGGCCTTGGCTGTAACTCTTTTTCTAGGGTGACTGTTTAGCTGTTTTGAAAACCCCGGCCAGATGGGGAGGAGGTGAGGGGGTGGAGGGTTGTTCGGCTCCCCCGGGGAGCCGCGTTTGCCTGCCGCTCCGAAAGAGAGAGGGGGGGGGGGGGGGGGGGGGTCTCTTATACAGAGAGAGGCTCCAGGGATGGAAGCTAGGAGGATGAGGAAAGGGGGTAAAGTGATATCTTGAAAGACATTTTAGGAAACATATTGAATAGCAAGGGGCGGCTTCTGAGTCCCCTCCCCCATCTCTTCCTTTCTCTCTACTTTCCCCCTATGCTTCCTGGATAGCCTCAGCTGGAACCTAAAGCCCGAAGGCGATTGCCCTGCTAGGGAGGTTCGAAACAGTTCCTTCCTTCCTTCCTTCCTTTCTCCCTCCCTCTCTGTCTTCCTCCTTCCCCCCCCCTTCCTCTCCAGCTGTGAGCCCGCCCGCCAGGCAGCCCAGCCTGAAGGGACCCCCGCTCCGCCTGGCGGTGTTAGAGCGTCTTATGAGCTACAAACTCTAACCCACCCAGGGAAACAAAACATCTCATCTGGAGACGCGTTGCACAGTAAACACGGAACTGAAATGAGGGCATTGGTGTCTGCTTTGGCATTCAGCTGTGATTGGGGAGTGGGGGTCATTTGAGATTGCAGTGCTCACCCCCAGCCCCTTCCCAGTGAGCTCCTTCACCCTTCTCCCCCGCATCCTTCAGGGTGTTCTTCTCACAACCGGTGCCCCCCCACCTCCTCCACTTCCTCTTCTGCTTTCTTCTCCCACCCACTCTTATTCCCAGACTCTCTCTTCTCTCTTCCAGTGCCCCTCCTTCCATTCTCAACACTTTCTTCCTAC